GTGTGAGGTGGAGTTTCTGCAGCAACAGCGACTAAAACAAAATTACGAAGTAGACTGGACATAAACCACACACTTGAGGTGTCATTGTCTCCTATTACCCCGAGATGGTACTGTCTGATTGCAGAAAATCAAGCTCGGGGCTGTGGTGAGTCGTCATTTTCATGCACTTTGAATTTGCGTTGTATCGTATTTTGAAGGCATTAAACATTACCAGAGCGATAAGAGTGTTGCGACCAGATTAGACGCTCCTTGTGTTTATTATTATATTTCGAAAACACCACAGTTTTCATGCAGCTCATACCATATTATTTTGTTGTATTAATCCGCCACACCTTAAATGCCGGTCCCTGAAAATATTGTCTGACTTAAACCGGTCCGTGGGGCAAAAAAGGTTGGGGACCCCTGCGCTAGATAACTTAAAATTCTTCTGAAAAGTAAAATACATAAAATAGCTGATTAAAATCAGCTAACTAACAAGCTAGCCAAATAATTAATAGTAAAGTAACTGACGTTCCAGTGATTCTAGTTTACTCAGAGTCATCACTGGCTAACTAACAGACCTGGGGTGGATCTTGTCTTTTAATTGCAACTTTGCAAGCGCCTCAATTCTTCAAACTGCAAATTAGAAGTTGTTATTGCGCTGGCATATTATCAAGGCTCTGACTTAAATGCTTCTATTGTGATTAAAGTTGTCCAGTTAGCTATTTCATTTGCAAACACTTCCTTACTGTTATGGTTTGACAGCAGTTGGCAAGCAATTGCTCACGAGCTGCCCAGGTAACTAACCATCATCAAAAACGTTAATTCACCATTTTTCTTAGCGCGACTCAAATCAAATAGTCGATGATGATATTTTGTCATATTCTACGAGCTTACTTCAGCATCAGTCTGGATGTTTGCCTCTTGGACACCAGTCTGCCTGTTGGCCTGTGTGGACAGAGTGAAGAGATGAGAACATACACTTGCACAATTCGATCTCTGAAACGCTGAATAATACATGAATGCAAACCGAGCACTGTTAATGGAAGACAATTTCCATGGGCCAACATTCAAGTTGCTCCGAAGAGACAAGATAGAAAGTAGGAAATGTTGTTGACCTGGAGCAGGATGACCAGGAGCCTCTTGAAGTGACCTGAGGTGTCTCCTGACACGTCCTCCTCCAGATCATCATCGTACTCTGGTAAAAACAAGCAAACAAAAAAATTTAAATATGTGTCACATGACACAGTTTATTCTTTCATGAAGGAATACTGGCTTCACACTGTTATAAACACACTGTTGTCACTATATTAAAAGAGACAGCAGGCTTTTGTCGAAAAATCCAGCTTTTCAGTCGCTATTTTAATATCCAAAATAGTCATTTCAAAACAGTCATATTTTGCCTGTAATACTGTGAGGCTTGACACTTTACATCAAGTTGAAGAAAAAAAAATCTTGAAAGAATTTTCTAATTTTTCAGAAAACAAAAGCAATATTTTCTTGAAAGGTAGTCATAATATTAAGAGTGAAAATATTTCTTTGTAAAATCCGTTTTTTGTGTGAAAAAAAGGATATTTGCAATTTTATCCTATTTTTTCACTGAAAAATAAAGGATGGTTTCAGAAAATAGCAGTGCAACAGAAAAAAGGATTTTGCTCATGCAAATTTTACATGGTAAATTCATTTGCTATTTGTTCATATTTTGCCTACAATCTTGTGAGACAAATCATTTAAATTTGGTGAGAAAAATGATTTATTTCATAAAGTTTTTTTCCATTTTATGAAAAAAAAATTTGAACATTAAAATTACACAGCTGATGGAAAAAGTCACAATTTAACGAAAACAAAACCAATTGTTTTTTTTTTTTTGGGGGGGGCTGTCATAATGCAAAAAAGTCAATTTTTTTTGCAGAAAAAAGTCATAATTTAGTCAAATCAGATTAAAAGACGTCATTTTGAATTCTAGGAAAAACATTCATATTCCACAGTGTTTTCAGCAAATCCGGGGCCACTGGAAGTGCACTTAGATTTTGTGAGGGGGGAACCTTGTAAACCAAAGCAGGTTACCTCGTCTATAGGCGGCTACGATGTCCTTCACCTGGTGAGTGGTCCTGGAGGCCAGAATCTCCACCAGCACCT